ACAGCTCCTGGTTTAGCTTTCATAACTGCTTTCACCGAAGCTAAGGAATGGCTCACACCCTGAACCCTAAACTCAGGCAGGGCCGAGGGAGAGACTCTCGCTTTTTGCTACGGCATCTGCTCTAAATCGACTCCTTCGTGCAGGATTCGCATCTCGTACCTGCAGCTGCAGCATGGTCAGACAGAATGTCAAGGCAAAAATAGGTTGAAAATACCTGGAGGCGAAGCTAATCTGTGAGCCCCTAAACAGATCCTAAACTTAGCCCTAAACACCAAGGATAGGGGGTTCCTGATCCGTCACGGGCGTCACGTCGCCACCCAAGGCCGCCCCAACCCCAAACCACTTTCATCTCTTTCTCTGCTTTTTTGACTAGCTGTCTGATTGGCCATGTATACCAGCTCTTCGGCTCGGTAGGTGCCTGCATGCATAAACACCTCAACCATACCTGTAACCGAAAAGACCTACCTTTTTAAGGACATATATATAGGAACCATAATAAGGAACCCTAAAAAGGGTAGGTCCTTTCCGGCTACAGGTACACCCCACATTAGTGACTTGACAACCACAGGCTGTAGAAGACCCCCCTAAACCCTAAACCCTAAACGCATAAACCCTAAACCCTAAACTCCTAAACCCCTAAACCCTAAACCCTAAACATGAATCCTTGCGCAGCCAAGGAGCACCAAGGACAGACGGGGCTCGCTGCCCCTGGGAGGGTCAACCCTGAACCCTATAAACCCTGAACCCTATAAACCCTATAAGCCACATAAACCCTAGAAACCCTGCAAACCCTTTGAACCCTAAATTCCTAAACCCTGATGTTCGTCAGGAGGGTTCGTGCTGTCTCGGCTTCATGGCTCCCTATATCAAACCCAAAAAAATCTAGCAAACCCCAATATCAAACCCAAAATTTCCATTAGACCCCGAGATCAAACCCCAAAAAATCCACTAGACCCCGATATCAAACCCTGAAGCCCTGCCTGGGTTTCGCCACTCGGTGTCGGCAGCTCGGAATGGCCCCTTTGGTCCAGCGCTGGAGCCTTTGGCTCAAGGTGTTGAGGCTCACAGGGCGTTGTGTTTTGTTCTGGTTTATATTTAGGGTTTAGGGTTTAGGGTTTGGGGTTTAGGGTTATAGTGGTTCTAAGGTTATATAGGCTTTCGGATTTCGGGTTTGGGGATAAGAGGTTTAGGGTTTAGGACTCTTGGCTTTCGACTGTGAGGGTTCCCCGGCGGTTGGGGCTTTGGGTTCATGGGCTTCGGGTTTAAGGCTTAGGTCGTCAGGGACAGCTCCGAGTTTAGGGGTTTGCGGTCCTTTGCGGTTTAGGCTTAAGCAGTTTAGAGGGTTTAGAGTTTAGAGTCTCTGGGCGTCGGCATAGGCTCGAAGGCTCAGGGATGGAAGAGCTTGTGGGAGACGACTGTGTGGGTCTCGGAAGGCCCATGGGTGTCAAGCGGCGTGTCAGCGCTGAACACGACGACTTCGCCGACAGCGCGATCCTGCAATAGTTAGCTTCCCAAGCTGTCAACCCCAAACGGCCCAAACCGACAAACACCCTATTGCACATCCAGGCCTGAACCCCCCAATCCTGCTTGCACCCAGGCTCCGCGCCCAATCGGGGAACTGGTCACTGAACTGCGACTGCGACAACAACAACTACTACTACTACTACTACGACGACGACGACTACTACTACTACTACGACGACTACTACTACTACTACAGCTGCCACGGCTACCGCTACCGCTACGGCTACTGCTACTGCTACTACTGCTACGGCTACCGCTACCGCTACTGCTGCTGCTACTGCTACTGCTGCTTTTCTACTACTGCTACTACTGCTACTACTGCGAGTACTGCATCGCTACTGCTACTGCTACCGCTGCCGCTACCGCAACTGCTACTGCCGCCACTGATAGCAGATAGCACGCATCTGGCAAGAACCAGCAGTCCTTAAATCACCCCTATACTGTCGGCAGCCTGGATTAAGTTATGACTAGTACCAGAGTCGATGAGTCGTTACTTGCTTCGCCTTTTGGTGATGGCCATCCGACGCTTCCAAATGGTTCTGGGGCATTTTATGCTAGAAATATAATATCTAGTAAGGAACCCGAAGGAATCGTATTGGTACGTATTTAAGCGTCTATATTACACAATAAGGTCTGCGCTCCAGAAATTAAAGCCGATTGCTTTCCGTGCCTTGCCCTCGAGGGAGATCCATTTTTCCGACGCTGCGTCCCAGACCTCGCAAGGAGGACAAAGGCAAGGGTTTAGGGTCTAAGGCTTATAGGGTTTATGGATTCAGGGTTTAGGGCTTAGAGTTTAGAGTTTACCTTTAGCACGCATGATCTAGTGCAACACTAATCTAACACGGTCAGTACTGAAACGCTACCCTGAACAACAACTGCGCACGGGAAAAGCCAGTGGCCACGTACCAAGCACGCGCAATCATGTTCAAAATGGAACCCTCTAAAGACTAATACTAGCCAACTGGTAACAGTTCCAAAATTCCAAATCATCTAGATAAAGCCACCAGTCCCGGACATTTTCAAGTCTTTAGCATGCGGTCACACACGCGCCTTTGGATCTCGCGTCCACACCGCGGCGCAACCCAACATACCACGTCATTCCCCGAACTCCACCGTGACAAAAGATGAGCCTATCTTCTTATATTATATAAGACCTAAGCCCTCGAAGTGCTGAACCACAGATACCCTAAACCCTAAACCCTCCATCCTAAACCCTAAAGATCCTTAAAGCCTAAACCCACACCCGAACTCCAGACCCTGGTCCGAAGAAACGTCCACATCTCAACATTACGACATGCGCAGGAACCCTAAACCCTCAAGACTGCCTTGAATACGGAGGCCCTCACACCCCTAAAAGCTCAAAGCCCTAGAAGCTGTATTCCTATAGCCCTACGTAATCCCTACACAAGGAAAGCCTCGAAAGCCCCCAACCTCTCGACAACCGATTAAAGGTTCATAAGCTGCATAGAGCAGAAGACCTCCACCTCGAAGCCTTCCAGAATAAAGCAACCCCACTTAAAACGCTCTAAAACGATTGAAGACACCCTCTGTGAAGTCCACTAAGTCTCACCGGAAGCCCCAAAATCTAAATCCTACTACGTCCCACCGTAAACCCCAAAATCCAAATCCATCCTACAGACTCAAAAGACCCTAACCCTAGATCCCCAAACTAAATCCCTGAACCCTCTCCTGCAACCCCCAAACCCCTGAACCCTAAACCGCCTAAGGCCCTAAATGACCAAACCCCTCCCTACAACCCTCTGGACCCCAAATAACCTGCCTTTGTAAAGACTTCTCTACGGAAATCATAACGGGGAACCCTTAATTTGAAAGGAAGGTTTTTTGGGGTCCACGTAGACCCTAAACCCCTAAGCCCCAAAACCCCAAACCCTGGACCCTAAACCCTATAGACCTCTAAACCCTCACCCCTAAACCCCTAAACCCTAAACCCCTAAACCCTAGACCCCTGAACCCTAGACCCCTAAACCCTGAACCCCTAAACCCTAAACTCCTAAACCCTAAACCCCTGTAAACCCTATAAACCCTAGAGCCCATTAGAATCCCACCTCCAGCCCTGCCACAGAGCTCAGCGGCTTGGCGGTCAGGAGCCCGGGATCCTTCCGAAGACTTCGGTGCTTTGGGGCTTAGGGCTTAGGGCTTAGGGCTTAGTTTAGGGTTTAGGGCTTAGGGCTTTAGGATTTAGGGTTTGAGGGTTTAGGGTTTGGGGGGGGGGGGGTTTAGGGATTGAGGAATGAGGGTTTAGTTCAGGCTTTTAGGGCTTAGTTTAACGTTTAGGGTTGCTTGCAGGATCATGGGATTTAGCACCTATTCTGGTGTTATAAGAAATTTCAGGCATGGCTTCTATTATAATCCTTGTTTCTGAGTCCCATGGCCCATGATCCTTGAAGTAGGGTTCGCTTTAGGCTTCGGGGTCTTTGTCCTAGGGTTAGTTGGCGGGCTTTGGGCTTCGGCTTTAGGGTGGCAGGGCTTTTGGGTTCCTGTTTGTGTTCCTTTCAGGCTTCCTTTTGGGGTTTCTGTAGGGTTTGGAATTCAGGGTCTAAACCCTAAACCCTAAACCGGTAACTCTACCTCCAGTTGACCGCTGCCATGCCACGCCCTTATGAAAATACCCTGACAGCCGCACTCTAAGGGTCCAAGTACTCCCTACTAAGGACTTTGGGGCCGGCCAGCCCCGGAACCCTAAAATTAAAACCATAGGCCCTAAAGCCCTAAAACCCTTAAACCCTAAAGCCCTGAACCCCTAAATGGCACCTAAACCCTAAATCCTAAAGTCCTAAAGCCCTAAACCCCTAAACCCCTAAATGGCCCCTAAACCCTAAACCCCTTTCAACCACAACCCTAAAACCCTAAATGGCCCCTAAACCCTAAACCCCTAAAACCTTAAAACCCCAAACCCTAAAACCCCAAAACCCTATGACCCTTGAACCCTAGACCCCTTTAAGCCACAACCCTAAACAGGACCACTTGGACCCTGAGGCCGAAGAGTCTCCGCGGCTCTGCTGCGGCCCAAGTTGCTGTGTGGGCGGCCATCGAGAGGTCAACGGCACCTGAGTAGATTTGGGGTAGCTAAGGGCTTGGGGTTTAGGGGTTTGGGGGTCACCTGAGTAGATTTGGCGTAACTAAGGGTTTAGGGTTTAGGGGTTTAGGGTTTAGGTATTTGGGGGTGTAGGATTTAGGGAGTCGGGTTTAACTAGGGTTTCGGGCTTTGGGGTCTAAAGTGCAGGCTCTGAGACTCCGATAGCCCGCCACAGAGTGAAGCGAGGCGACGTTACATTATAGTAAAATAAAATTGTGTACAGTACAATTCAGGATAATCTAGTATAACATAGTATAATATAGTATATGAGATTCGGAGCTTTCAGCCCGACACCTTCCGACATGCCAGATGAGGTCTTAGAGTCAAGGCTCCAGGGTTGTTGATACGGCCCTAAACCCGAAACTCTAAACCCTAAACCCTAAACCCTAAAGGCCCTAAACCCTAAACTCTAAACCCTAAACCTTAAAAGCCCTAAGCTCTAAATCCTAAACCCTAAAAGCCCTAAACTCTAAAAACCCTAAACCCGAAAAGCCCCAAAAAGCGCCAGACCCTAAAAGCCCTGAACCGAGGATGTGGCTGGTCTCTGCTGCATCCCCAGTCCTGGGCTCAAAACGATGCTGAGGGTCCATGCTGCGACTGCTGTATTCATATAGACAAAAAAGCATATATACATATATGTTCTCGCATGCGGTCCCTTCCCACACCTAATCTGCATCCCATCTAGACCGAAGTCATGTCCACGGAACTCTGCACAGCAGCTCCGCAGCTCACATGTTGGCTTCAAACTTAGTCGCCTCTGAGTCCTTTTTCTTGCTGCTTTTGCTCCAGCTCTCATGATGCAGAGTTGAGATATGAGTAGTTCTCTAAATTAGCGTCCCTTTTGGGGTCATTTTTATACGGGCGCCATACTATATTGGGCACCTGACAAGGGACCCTAGTAAAGAGAAGTACCCATATGTGAAAGGACCGCTCTCCCTGAGCCACCGAAACAATCCTTGACAATTCTGGCCGCGCCTCCATTACGCCAACAATGCTTCATCCTAAAGCCGAAGCAAGGTGTGTCCTGGACCCTGAACACTCAAGTCACTTCAGTCACTCAACCCCTAAAGGACACAAATATGTCCTAAAGCGTGAACCCTGAACCCACTCATCACAAGTTAAGACTTCACCCCCCCCCCCCACCCAAAGATATGTCCCTAAATGAAATTTCAGGCCTCAAGATTTCCTCATCAACCAAACGTCCGAGAGCCTCCCAGAAATAACTGAAGCTCCCCCTAAGCCCCAAGCCTTAAACTAAACCCAGAGCCTTAAAGCCCCTAACCCTACACCCCAAATACCTAAACCCTAAACCCCCAAACCCTAAACCTTAAACCTAAAACCCTAAACCCCTAAACCCCTAACCCCTAAAGCCCTAAACCACTAAACTAAAACCTCAACCCTAATGTACTGGGAGGCCGGGTAGCGAGAAGTAGCTGAAAGCATCCCAGACCGAGGCATCTCCGGTGGCCTCGCCATCGGAGGGGGTTCGGGCCTTGAAGTTCTGGGGTCTACCTGGGTTTTGGGTTTTGGGTTTAGGGGTTCAGGGTTTAGGGTTCAGGGTGTAGTAGTTTAGGGTTTAGGGTTTAGTGTTTAGGGTCCAGGGTTTAGGGTCTACCCATAGGCCCCAAAGTAGTTCCTTTTATGGTGTATATTTAGAGCCCTGTAATAGGCAATCCCAAAAAGGAGCTACTTAGGGGCCTATGGGTACCTAGTGTACCTGTAGCCCAAACCCTACGAAGTAGTAGGTTGTGATGCCGTAACATAAAATCACAAGTCATGACCCGTAATTACAGGGTAGAACTTGTTTAGAACGGTAAGACCCCAAACCCTACCCTAAACCCTACAGGCTTCGGCGTTTAAAGGCTGAACTCTAAACCCTGAACATTCTCTCAACCCGACAGAGCCGAAGGTGTAGATGCCTTAGGGGCTGAAATCTGAGACGATGTTCAGCCGTCTCCTGGAGAGATTCCGACAACTTGCAACAAGACAACATGATAAACAGAGGGGCCTTAATGAGAAGACCAAGGAGTACACTGGTATTGGTATACACTACACCAACACCATTGTTCGCGTACAGAAGCCTTAGGTAGAAGACTTCCCGGGATTCAAAAAAGAAGTGCGGCTGTAGTCTTACGTCCCCCCTTAACACCAAACACAGAAACCCCCATAGACTTAAGCCCCTCTTAATGCCAAACACAGAAATCGTTATAGTCTTAAGTCCCCCCTTAACACCACACCCTCAAAGTCCTGAGGCCCCCGAACCGGGCCCCAACTGCCCATCTCCCTGGGCTCCAGAAAACCCAAAACAGGCCGACCTCCGAGGCTCGCCGCCAAGCGGCCTGAGACTACTGTAGAGTTTAGGGTTTAGGGTTTAGGGTTTAAGGTTTAGGGCTTAGGGTTTAGGGTACTACTCTGAGACGATTCAGGGTTCAGGGTTCAGAGCAAAAATGGGTTCATTCGGGCTTAGAGTGAAAGTGAAAGTCCTTCCCGGGTTTAAATGGGATTTGGCACGATGGCTGCATGTATTAGTTTCGGATATCAATTGTGTTTTGGATTGAAACCTCCATGAGGGCATGCGACAATGCTTCCTTGCTCTCAGCTCCGCCACTAATGGTCCAAGTACCTAGTAATCATATTCTGTCCCAAATACTGACCTACAAAACTACTATCTCAAACCATCATTAGGTCCCTTAACCCCTGGGGATACTTCATGAAGTTCAAGGCTGATCTTTACTGCCTTCACTTCACACCCCCTTTCTCTCTTCCTGATCTAAGACTTCCGGGGTCAAAGTGGCTGAAGAGCTGACGACATGAAGTTTGAGGTTTATGGCCGTTTCGGTTGACGGAGACTTCGGGCTACAGCAATGTTCTAGCGTGCAGGCACCGTGCACGGCTGTCCAAACAATTCCTAAACGTCCTAGACAACACAACTGCATCAAACATCACCGAAAGCTGGCAGGCATGGCGGGCGATTACCTTCGCAACAATACCCTAAACCCTAAGCTGACAGGCGAGACGATTTCGCACTACCAAGCGATGTGAACATTATGCCGTGACGGAGAATACCGAAAACATACAAACATTAAAAAAAAAAACATATTCCACACACACACACATGTTGCTAGCATGCACGGGTTGTAAAACTCACGAGCTTGCTTGCAAAACCCAGTGCAGAACAACCTGAGCTTGCTCTAGAATCCTTCACGCAGGTCTCCTTTCATCCCAGCGATACTTACGTATGCTTGAGTGCGGGCTGGAGCGGCTGGCAACAGAAGCAGCAAAGCTGGCAACTGCAGCAGCAGCAGCCGCAGCGGCAGCTCCGAGCACATACTGTACTCTTGATATACTGTTACTTGAACCCTTTGGGATTGCGTGTCTCCCCATCTCCGCCTTGCCCTTTAATGCAACGCCAAGAGACAAATAATCCCTGAAAGACGGCAACAGCTAAGCCTATTCGCCTGAGAACAACCAGTGTGAATCCCTGAAAGCCACGAAAAACGAAGAATGCTGGCCTGACGACCGTCGAACAAACGTCTGGATCCAATTTTGGAGTTGATGGTTTTAGGGTTTAGGGCCGTTTAGGGCTTAGGGTTGCAACGTCGAAATCCCTAACAGTCCATCTTTAGAAACTCCAGCTGCTCGCCTCCATCAAAGAACCACCGGGCAATAGCCGGAGAAGTGATAGGCAGAGGGCTTCCTGCTTTCCGCAAGGAGCCGGATGTGCTCTACTAAAAAGGTCATATACGAAGCATGAAACTTGCTATGTACCCGAAGAAGTGGTAGGATAGACCCTCCAGGTTTCAACCATAGGGCTGCTTCAGTGTGTGGACTTGCTATAAAACTAAAGGCGCCGAACCCAGCCTAGCCCCTTTAAGCCTACGAGGTGGCGATCACATGCGATAACCGTTGGGTCTGAGGTAAATTTCGTTCTCTTCTCAGGAATGCTTTGAAAACAGGGTTGTAGTTCTGTTGCACAAGAGCGAAGAAAGGACTAGTGCTCAATGTTGGCGCAACTTGAGGAGGCAGGAGTGACGCCCAGTTCAATAGTACCTGATCTATACTGAGTTCTCGTCCGAGGACCTGTACCACAACCCTACACAACTCGACGAGAAGTGCTGCGATGGAGGGTCGCGGCATGATGTCGTTGCGGCATTTCGGTTGGCAAGCTCTCTGGAGTGCTGCGCTGAGGGTACAGAGGCTTAAGCCTAATAGGGTCTAGGGGTTTAGGGTTTAGTGGTTTAGGATTTATAGGGTTTAAGGCTTATAAGGTTTAGGGGCTTCCGCGGAGAAGCCGGGCCAGAACCCCCAGCCCAAACGAAATCAATCCGCAAGAGCATCCGTAAATCATCAATCTCACAAGCCCGGCTAAGCAATGCTGCACGGTCCAGTTCTCGGATCAACGGGCGCGAAATCTCTTCCAGACGGGGTGGCCAGACCTGAAAAGTCACAGTGTAGTTACACGCACCCAAGAGCCCCGGAGAACATGATCGGTAGTAAGCAGTACCGGGTATGAAGTTGCATTGCACAATCCCATTGCAGCCTGCTTTCTGCAACAGGACACGACGCTTGAGATGGCAAACATGCCAACCAGGTTGATTGAGCGGCATTCTGCCTGAAACGAAGGCTAGGACTGCGACTACAACGACACCCGTCAGTGACCACAACCATAATTAATCATAAGCCTTCCGTTCTCTGACAATCGTCGTTGTGAGTCGAACATGCGCATCCGGTCAATTCCGGTCGCAGGCCCTGCTGCATGGCTACTTCAGAAAAACCAAAAATCAACAGTTATTCGCTTACCATTTCAAGTTGCGCAACGGCAGACACCAGCCTGGTGCGACTCCAAAGACCTTCCTAGTTATGGACTACCATAGATGTACCAGCAGGCATACGTATTTGCTATGAGAAGCTGCTGACTCTGACATGGAGAATGCAATACGAGCTACGAAGCTGGAGATTTTGTCCAGCTTGTTGAAAAGTTAAGTTAAAGTTAAGGCGGGGGATGCTTTCGGGTTCGGGTGTTCAAGAACGAATCCAGACACCTGATGGCTTGGCTGTTAAATCTGCTATCCCAACGGCCGACGGCAATACTGCAAAAATTGCCCCTAACCCCTGTCTACTTGAGCCTTCGAGCATTGAAGAATCATCAGGCCTGGTAGTCTGCAGCGCCCATGACCAAATGGAAATGTTGCCGGGCGCTTTGCAGGGTGTAGCCGGCATCCGCCAACGGCAGCGTAAGCCCAGGAGAGCCTTGCGGATTGCGGTTTAGGATTCAGTTTGGGTTTATGGTTCGACTTTGGTGTTCAGGGATTGAACAGTAGTAGCAAGCAGCAGCAGCAGCAGCAGCAGCAGTAGCAGGAGTCGTAGTCGTAGTCGTAGTCGTAGTCGTAGTCGTAGTCGTAGTCGTAGTCGCAGTCGTAGTAGTAGTAGTAGTAGTAGTAGTAGTTGTTGTCGTTGTGGTAGTATTGGTAGTAGTAGTAGTAGTAGAAGTAGTAGTAGTAGTAGTAGTAGTAGTAGTACGCCCACAACGGTCGGTGCGCCCAGACCATTAGGGT